GGCAGGGGGGGGGGGGGGGCGTGCCAAAGCTGAAACGAGGGTTCATCTGTCTTCTGTGGTCCACTGCAGGCATGAAAAATGCGTGGTGAGAAGTCTTTCGAGAAGTCTTTTGAGCAACAATAAACAACATGGCCAGCGTTGAACATAACACACAGCAACCCGGTGCTCCACTGCTCGGCGGCGCTCCCCGAGCTCTCGATCCTCTCTCTCTCACTCTCTAGTCCAGGTCGGGCCTCGCGCCGAGACTGTCTGGGTTCGTCGACGGGTACGCGTGCCCGCACCTCGCCCCAGGGGGCGGCGCCACGCCCGGCGGCAAGTGCGGCCGCTTCGCGGGCCGCTGCGGCTGCTCGGCTGCCGCGGCGGTGCCGGGCGGGGCGGCGGCGCGCGTCCCCTTGCGAGCCCACATGACGCGGACGCGGGAGCCTTTGATGTTGAGGTTGGCGTGCAGGGCGCGGCAAGCCTGCTCTGCGTCGGCGCGCCGCTCGTACGTCACGTACGCGCTCATCTTCGCCTATTCCGTGCCGGGCCCTTGTGGTTGTGAGACGCGCCGGCGCGCGGCGCGGGCTGCGCGTCGTGGCCGTGTCGAGGGTGATCTTCTTGACGGGGCCGTACTCTTGGAAGTAGGGGCGCAGGTCGCGGTCCGAGGCGCCTGTGGCGGGGACAGGGGCAGCAGACCGCCCTCTCACACTGCGCCAAGGGTGCGGGGTGCGGGCCTCGCCCGCTCCGAGGCCCTGTGGAGGGGTGCGGCGGCGGCGGCGGCGGAGAGCGGCGGCGACGGAGCTGCGGCCGGACCCAGCGTTGCGCCAAGTGGCGGGGCTGCCCAGCGGCGGCGGGGAGGGTTGAGGTGGGGGGGGGGGGGCTGTTGCGCGCCCGGCGGGATGGACCCGACGAAGAGGGAGGAGATCGACTTGTCCTCGGGCGGCCGGAGCTCGGCGAGGCGGCGCTGGCGCAGCCGCTCCTGCTCCTCGGGCGTGAGGGGCGTGTCGCGCCGCGGCCTCAGCACCGGCCCCGGGTCGAGCGCCGCAAACTCGCGCAGCTGCTCCACCGAGTCGCGCAGCTGGTCGTAGGTCGACAGCCCGCCTCCGGCGGCGCCGCCGTCGTCCTCCTGCTCCTGCTTCTTGTTGTGCCACCAGAACTCCTTGTTGACGTCCGAGACCGCCCCCTCCTTGCCCAGCGCCGCCATCACCTGGTCGCGCACGTGGAACGGCACGCCGTACTCCAGGTCGTTGACGCACGACTGGCACACATTCTTCTCGCGCGCCACCTCGGGCGAGATGCACGTCTCCTTCCACCGCTTGTGCTGCCCCTGCCAGCGGAACGAGGTGAAAGGCCGGCCCGAGATCTTGCACTCCTTGCCCATCACGCCCTGCGCGCAGGCGGGCCGCTCAGCGCGGCGTCGACTCGGGCGGGCGTGGTTTTGGAGCGGCGGGCGGCGGGCACCTTGAGCATGCGCACGTACGGGTTGGGGCCGAGGCAGCTCTCGCAGATGATGGGGAAGCTCTCGCCCAGCGTGACGGCGTCCTCGCCGAGGGAGGCGACGATCGCCATTTGGACTGCCACGCGCCGCCCCGCCGAGTCGACGCCGCTGCCCGCCTGAAAAATAAGAACCCCCTCGAGCGTGGAATAGGACGACCGCAAGCGGCGTGGCGTGGAGCGGTTGAGCGTCCCTCCGGGGGCCCCTCTGCGCCGGGGAGGCGTTGTTGGCGGCTAGGACGCAAGCGTCCGTCGCCGTTTTCAAACTCGGGGCCCACTCCGCTACGCTCCGAGAGAGAGAGAGAGAATTCTTGATACGAAACCACGACGACACACACCAGTCGACTCGCATCGGTTGCCTCCATGAACGGCGGAGCTATTCTCGCGTCCACACCACACCTGGCTCCAACGTGGACAGGGAGCTCAGAAGCGCACCCAGCGGGCCGGATGATCGGGATCGGGCTACGGGCTAGAGAGCCCTGACCCCTAGCTAGGGGGGGGGTGCGCATTCGCAGGGCAAGGGCCTTAAAGTAAACACGGGTCTCCGAGGGTTAGTACCGCGCTCCAGGTTTCCCCTAGCAGCAGAACGCCCCCTCTACTCGGAGCTAGTAGACACCAGACAAGGACACGCGACGACACACACTCCCCCTTGGCGACGGCGTCGCCAATCACAACCCCTCCGCTCGGTCTCCCTGCCCCGGCTCCGGTGGGGTTCCCCCCCCCGTTCGATCCGTTCTCCTGTTTGCTTCTCGATGGTTGTACGGCGGGCGCGGAGCCCGACCTCCCCTCCTAGCCTTTTTCGGCTGCGGCCCCGCCGCCGTCTCGTCTTCTCTGCCTGATCCTGTTCGGGGTGCGCTCGCCTGCTGTGGCGGCTGCCGCCCCCTCGCCGCCAATCCGTCTTCTCGCCTCCTCTTCTCACGGACCACAGGGGCTGCGCAACAAAAGCACACAAACACTCCCTGTCCCTGCATGGCTTGGCGTAGGCGCGTCCTCATCCCCTCCTCCGCCTCTCCTTCCACCCGCTCCGAGATCCGTTCCAGGATGGCGCTAACCACCTCTTCAGCCACTCCCGTAGCCGCAGGTCCGTCTTCCGGCTTGACGTGGAACAGTGTGCGAAATTTACCGCCGCACCCATGACAGGCAGCTAGCGTGGGGAAGCGCTCCGTCCCGAGCGACTCGAGAGGGATCCCCACCGCTTGCCAGTGGCGCGTCACTTGCGTCGTGAATTCTTCTTCCGCGTTTCGTGGCCATAGGCGCGCGGGGCGAGGAGACACATGGCCGGGAATGAGCCCTTGCTCATCGCGTGCATGCCCTCCTGCAGACTTGGACCTCCTCGCTACTGACTTGGCACTCCCTCACCAACCATGTATCCCTCTCACTCTTGGAGCTGGCGGCGGTGCATGCCGCAAGCCGTCTGTCTGGGCTGCAGTTGCACTTAGTCCAGGCGGCCTGGCAAGCTGTGCTGTTGCACTCTTCGCAGCACTCGGAGCTGCTCGGCATTCTTTGATTCCCTCATCATGAAATGTGGGATCTGTGGAAGCCAGATCATGGTCCTTATCCTAGCCCGCGACACTACTCACTGGGCGGTGCGGGTGCTTAGCAGCAGCAGTGTTCCTGCCCACCTGCCCATAAATTGGCTTGAAGGGGCTTGAATTTAGCGTCGGTGCGGTAACTTCAAGGCAAACCGTGTCGCCAAACATGTTTGTGAAACGCGGTTCAACGTTGTGTAAACGTGTCTTGAATGGCGGCTGAAAGGCGGGGGAAGAGCGGGTGAAGGGCGGGTGAAGGGCGGGCGAAAGGAGGGGAAATGACGGCTGAAAGGAGGGAAAAGGACGGCTGAATCGCTCACGAATCGAACACGAAGCAACGTTAAGAAGACATTCGAATAAGCGGTAAGATCGGCGCTAAACAGGCGAAAAACGCAATTTAAATTTATTTCTAGGGCGGTAAATTCACACATGCATCCCTTCACAACCCCTTGCCGATCACAGGCAGCCCAGACCAAGAGATGTCCCTCGCTCCTGCTCCTCTCTCGGAAGACGCGCGCCGGCCTGGGGGACTCGCTTGCGATCCCGCTCCAGCCAGAGGCCGCGTGAGGCGCGTGGGACGGTGTACGCTGGGGCTCGGCCCCAAGTGCACTGGCCTCGCGTCTCGAGGGGAGGGCGGCTCGTAACTGAGGTTCGCCGTCAGGGACAGTCGTCCTCCCCTTCTCGGCCATTCCAACGGCCAGGCCGCTCGCTTAAGGCTGATTGGCTAGACGAGCGGTCTACCTCCAACGGGGCTGACTGGCACAACGAGGAGAGGTCATCCGGATGTGGCGGGACGCCGCCGGGCACCTGGTTGCTCTCCTCCGCCAGACAGCCCCTCCCGACGGGGACGCCACCACCCTCGCCCAGGGATCTACAACGCTGTCTTAAGGTCCGACAGGTTCGGCACCGGGCACCGCCTCGGTATACAAAATGCGCCTCCGGGCACCGCCTCGGTATACAGTGTTCACACGAAACACTCGGTGTCGAACCGTCGAACCACCATCCCGACGCTCACAAGCAAGAACCACGGACCCAAGACGCACAAGCTCAGACAGTCGTACGACAGTCGAGAAAGGGATCGACGGCAACGACAGTCAGAAGTCAGCGCTGGGTCCACCCTCTGATCGCATGGACGACGCCGCCACCCCGGTGCCCTGGCGGTCGGTACTCCCCATCCTCGGAGTCATGTTTGTCGACGGCGTCAACATGATGCTCGTCTTCCCGTTCGTCCCGTTCCTGGTGCGATCGACGCTGCGGCTGAGCCTCGAGGACCCAAACACGCCGCTGATGTCCGGCCTGATGGGCGCCGCCTTCCTTCTCGGCCAATTCTTCGCGTCGCCGGTCTACGGCCCGCTCAGCGACAGGCGCGGCCGTAGACCGGT